TTCAAGGGGGCCAAATACTTTTGCAAGGCACTGTATGTGTTTGAAATTCCTTTGTGTTTGAACTGTTTGATTCTCTGGTCTGTGTTGGCGATTTCAACGGTTTTGTTAAGTCCATCCATCCATTTTCTACCCTTTAATCCATTTCTGGGTCAGGGGGGTGGCAATCAGAGATGCACCCAAGTCTCATAGCACCAGCCCCTCACTGACCCTCTGCAGGTGGTGAGTCCACAGGAGGACGGCTGCTCTCTGAGTGTGAGCATAGCCTTGATCTTTCAGTGGGGGCTTTGGGCAAAGTGGGGTTAAGTGTCTTGCCCAAGGACACAACGACAGCAGTCATCAGTGGGAGTCGGTGGAGAAGGTGCAGAGGTGGGAATTGAACCCACGACCTTCTGGCCTTAAGGCCAATGCTCTACACACTGAGCTACTTTGGTTTTGTTAAGTCCTCCGAGATAATTACTACCGTGATTTAGGGCTATACAAGATCAAATTGAATGAAATTGAATTTAATTGACTTTGACTGTATATTAGGAGTGGACCAACTGAGTGCTGATGTCACCCATAGTTTTCAACGAATGCGGAAGAAGCCGATTTGAACATAAGCTAACTGAAGCCAACTTCCTTTTTCAACCTTTTCTTCTGCAGCAATAGCTTAGCATGTTGCTAAGATGGTTGCTAAAGTAAGCTGGAGTTTCTCCCGTGAATGATGGCATCTGATTGGTCAATCCGTATGGCTAATATCTGGATTTACAAACAAAAAAATCAAACACCAGGTATATTAAGCCCATAATGGTGAGTGTGACACAAAGGGTTATTAAGTTTGAGGAGTTTACTTTTCAATGTAAGTCAAGATGAGCGCGTGAGTTGGAGCAAAACTTTATTCATGAGCACTTCCTATCTGGGCTTCTTTTAGCTAGGGGATTTGTATTGTCCATTCATATACAGTCTATGGCTGTTTACTTGAATTTCTTATTGTTAGCTTCTGAAAATGTCAAAATTCCTCTGTAGGAAAGGCCTTATTGGATGCATTCAAATGTCATCGTTGCATATGTTGTTAAAACTAAATGTATCTGCTAAATTCAGTGAAATAAATATATTAAGTGTTGTTTACAAAAAGTCTTTGCACGAAAGCAAATATGATTAAAAGCAATGGCCTCTTTGATACTTGTTTATAGTCATGTTCTATTTGGGTACATGAGAGTGGATGTTTAATGTGTTTTTACTGATGTTGTTTTATTCCCAGAAGTCTTCATCTGCATTTTTTTTTATCAGCTCTAATGAGACTCATAACCTTCTTTGTATTTGGTCACAAAGTTCGCTTATGATGTGACGTTAATTCTGTTTGAATGTCCTGCCGCCCTCTAATCAAGTGGAGTGTTAGGACAGGGGCTATTTTTAGTCTTCCACTGATCACTGTTATTTGGCTCAAACAAAACATACAGCTTTGCCCATTGCAAATGCATTCAGAAAGGGACTGCAATTTTGCATGTGATGTCATGAATAGTTTGAATAGAATAGTGACTCGTGTACAATCATCTTCTATCAACTTTGGTATACTCCTTTCTGCTTGTATTACGTTGAGTCCTGAGCTGTGGAAAGGAAAAGAAAACCTCCAGATTGAACAAATAAATATTCCACTGTGTCAAGAATAAAGGTTAGTCTGCTGCAAGCTGGTAGTGTAAATGCGGAGATCAAAAATATACAACTTAAAGTCTTTGTCCCATAAGATGTAAGAAGAATTACAATAAGAAATGTATTGCTTCTGCTGTATATCAAGGACATTTCTCTTTTACTCTATCCTGGAAATTCTTTTGAGACATTAATTCCCTACATAGCGCTTTATTATTATGATACCTATATAAATTTGTTTTACATTTTTGTTATGTATGAGGAGAAGGATACTGTACTTGTGTGAGATCAAATATTTTCTCGTGTTATCTTGTCTGACATTGCTAGAATCAACTTGACCTATAGCTCGATGTCATTTTATTTAGACAAGTACCATAACTGAATGTGCAAGATACAAATGCCTCCTCATACTGTCCCCCCTGTCCCCTGCACTGCTACTGTCTTGTCTGAAGTGGCCTTGTGGCTGTGAAGAGCTGTCTCTCCTGAGGCCTCATTCAGCAGCCGAGCTCGCAGCAATGCAAATGAAGATTAGCACGCGTCACTGCTCTCTCCTTGCAGCGAGAGAAGTCCTGTCAATGTACCGTCCTGGGCTAGAGGGCTTCTATACTCCATGAACCCCACATTAAATAATCTATAGGCTCATGGCTGACAACTGCCACAAAATAAGGGGAGGCATATTCAGGGCATATCCACCACAGAGTATCCAGTAGGACTTTTGTTCAGTGTTGTTTGGCTTTATGCGAATTGAGCTGAATATTAGTCTGAGAACAGAGAATGGAATTTGTAAGTAGACACACACGACAGCTTCCTCATTTCAAACATAGTTGCTGTTGTGTTGTTCATGATTAATTATTCAACTACAAAACATTGTAAACACTGAGAAGACTGCTGTAAATTGCTTCTCCAATCTACAAAAGCACTTAACACAATAGTTTAGAAGGGTTTGTCATTATCTCTGATTTGGCTAAGTACTTGCAAACTCTTATCTTGTACACACTGTTGCTGTAATATAACTATTAAGCAGGAGGAGGGCTGGAGATTCATAGGGCCCCCTCCGCTGGCACTTGTCTGCACTGCACGTAGTATGACCTTGTGCCATTTCGTTGTACGGAAAGACCACAATCACCACACTGTAATTGCACCAATGTCGCAGTCAGTTTGAGATGTGTTCTGTAATATTTGAACACTTCAATCATAGCTCTCTCTTAAATCTGAGTATGGCAGTTATCCGGTTTTCCTCCTTGCAAACATTCTGTAATGTTTAGTTCTGAACAAACGAGAGAAAACAAATAGCAGGCAGTATATCGTTTAAACCAGGCAGCAGTAAATACATGTATTGTTGTTGAGAGCAGGTGTAGCGTGCTGTTCTGCTCTTCACAAACCCATTCAGACAATTCCATTTAGGAAAGCAACAAGAGAAACGGCATCCCAAATGCATGTTGAATAACCATTCCATGTCTTATTTGAATTGAATGATGTTCATGCTGTCTGCTCTCATACAAAGACAGTGAATTAAATCTATGTCACTTTTCAGGCTTCGTTTAATGGGCAATTTGAAGAATCTGATTGCATGAGAAGAAATGGGAAATACACAATAGAACTGGAGGGGCCCTGGGGTAGAGAGGCATCATTCAGTTTCACCAGATGAAAGCAGGTAGCAGTAACAAGAGAATAAAAAAAAAACTGAGAACTTTGCACATGTGGCAGGTGCATACAGTAAGAGGAGGCTCATGCACAGCTTGGCCAAACTTTAAAAAAAGAACAGCTATCTCACTGTGCTCGCATACAGAGTATTTTATTTTAAGATCTGTAAAGTTTCATTCACATCCAGCAAATAACAAGAGCAAATTGATGACACAGAAAAGGAAGACCTGTTGGGATGGATGCTGCTGTCCAAAAGATGACGTTCTATAACCTTTGAAGCATTTATCTCAACATGAAATGCGTCAAAACTTAAACCTTTGTAGAGCACTAAGAAATTATAACAAGGATTTCAGTTTTGGGTTGAAAATGTAGCATCTCTATATATAGTACAAAATGTGTTTACTGTAGGTTTTTTAGCAGATTGCAGAGTCTTTGGGGAAGAAGTAATGGATTAAAAGGTGCATTTGGAATTGCAGTGCAGTGTGCTGAAAGCAGAGCAGATGGCGTGTGTGCAGATGGGATGGATGTTGCCCGGTGTGGTTAGGCTGCTCTTGCCTGAGTTTATCAGGTATGTTCCAAATTATGTTACGAACACTAAACAAAAGTAGTATCTGGAGTCACATTAGTTCCCTGGATGAAAAAACCTACAGGGAGGAATAAAGTGTTCCATAAACTTAAAAAATCTGCTTACTCACATAGCAGGTTTTTGTTTGTTCCACGGCATGGCAAAATGGTTTGTTGTGGAGGATCTATAAAGTCTCAAATATCCTCTTCTTAATTATCTCTCCTGCCTCAAATGCGGGGGCAGGATACAAAGAGGGTTTTCTTACAGACCGCTTGCTCACTGCTTCACATTTTGTATTTGATCGTTTCTATTAAATTAAAAATACGGGCCTGCATGCTTTGTATTATTCATATTCTTCTGTGCATTATTCAATTGGCTGCTGGCATGCCACATGTGGCCCGTTGGGGAATTTGAGCCGGTCATTTTGTAAAAAACCTGCCCAATGTTCGGTGTTTCTTTGCAACATTGCTTCTTTGCAACATTGCATTTGTCATTGGTCTAAGAGCCCTGGTTGAAAACACTTCATTGTTTTTATTTTAACTTTTCAGTTAAAGGTAATTTCATATGAGTTGTGTATATTTTTAAATTATAACAGAAATGTGTGCTGTGGCCACATCCAAGGTTCCTGGACCCTAGCCCTACAAAAACATCCCACTGCAAAATCAGAATCAGAATCATTTTTATTGCCACGTAAGTAACAGGAGGTCACAGACTTGGAAATTGCTTTGGCTCAGTGCAACAGTCAAAAAGAGATAATAAAAATAAGAATAAAAAACACTTCTAAAGAATAAATTTAAATTTAAAATAGAGTTACAGTTACTATTTACAATATACAAGTGCACATGGTGCACACAATGTAAGGTGACAGCAGTACAGTGAAGTAAAGTGACGTATGTTGGGCAGTAAAGTGACTTTATAAAGGGCGGGGGGACAGATTAAGAAGTGTTCAAGAGTCCAACAGCAGAGGGGAAGAAACTGTTCTTGTGGCGGGAGGTTCTAGTCCTGATGGACCGCAGTCTCCTGCCTGAGGGGAGTGGTTGGAATAGTCCATGTGCAAAATAATAATTTCCTGCTTTACTATACTGGTAGCACAAGGAACTCCGATGCAAATCTGGTTCTTCTAAAGCATGAACAAATCTGTACATTCATTTATGTCTTTGTGTAGATGTCCCCGAAGGAGCTGGAGGAGTTTGTGAACAATGAGTTTGAAGAGCTGCGGCGCTTGGTGCGTCTGCAGGAGCGTAGGACGCTGCATCTGGTCGACCTGAAAGAGGCCTTCCTCATCGCCACGGCAGCCGAGAAGATTGCAGAGATCCACGTCCAGACAGAGCGGCTCCAGGAGGAGATGGACAGTATCACCCAGCAGCTGTGTCTCCTGGAGCAGGCTGATGAGGACTCCATCGGCCCTGCTCTCATGAGACAGGCCGCGCTGGCAGAGGCCCGGCCAGTGCACAAACTACAGGTAAGACTTTTATTTTCTTTATTGGGCATTGTGTAGAATCTGTTGCCAAATGGACATTACATTGAGAAAACAAACCAACACAAGACACATTTGTCTCTGTGGAAGAAATGGTTTATCCGTTGTCTATAATGTTTTAGCATTGATATTTATTGTTTTCTACTGTATATAATTGTTATTTTGAACAAAAAAAGACACCTGTTGCCTCTGCAACCTGGCTCTGGAAAATGGATAAAGTTTCTTCCGATGCTTATACAGACAATATATATATATATATATATATATATATATATTTATTTTTTCTAACTTTTGTAACATTCTCTTTTTTACTGTATTTTTTTATATAAAAGTCACTCTTCACACGTGACACACATTGTTCACAATTATGCCATCACATTGAGTCGTTAGCTTTGTTAACAGCTTAGCAAAGGGGTAAAAAAAAAAAACTCGTCAGGGTCAATTGCTAATTAATCAAAACATTAAGCTAAGAGCCACGGTTCGCATTGAAAAAGCAAGGGCTATTGCTTTCATCAATAAACAATTAAACGGTACAATTGGCCAGCTGGAACAAAGCTAATCGCTGTGTACGCTGTGCTGCCAGCTTGCTAAAGTTACTCCGATAACCATTATATTATCACAGAGCTTTATAAACAGGCTGTATATAGACTTCAATTGAAACTATTTCAACATGTGATCCCTCACCTTGTACAGCATATTGCCAAAAATGGGGGATAGCAGGATTGTGCTTTTATCTGTTCGCTGTTACTGAAAACATTTAAAGCTAAATATGCACATTGCTGGATGCAGTTCTTGTAGACAAACAAAATGCCATTCATGTACACAGCAATTTTACTGCTATTTATCATCCATTTTATGAACATCCAAAGCAAACCATTTAATCCAAACTGCATTTCAGTCTATTTAGGTTATTGTGGAAATTAGGAAATGTTCTTAATGGTCCTGTTATGTTTCTTTTAAAGCACCTTGTACCTGCACTTGATAATATCTGATATGCCATCTTTTAGAATCGTTTTGGTGTCTGTTATGGCTTCACAACCTCCATTAGCAGATATAATTCAAAAATGATCTAAGCTTTCAAATCAAGATACATTTTAAAGTTCAAGCTCTTGTTAGCTTATTATTTGTACTTGTAAGCTGTAAACCTGTTTTAGAGCTCTAAACAATGTGGTATTCTGATTTGTTTAATGTCCAACATAATGATTACATGAGAAAAAGAAAAAAAAGCTCTGTCTGGAAACTGGTTCCTTTTTATATTACACCTACGCATTTCGTCTCTTGAGAGCATTGCAATGAAACACTGCAGGTGCACGACCACTCTCATGCATTGGCAAGTAACAACAACAAAACAGTGGTGGAAAAAGTGAGAAACCTTAGGGAGGCTCACATTGAGACAGGGATCATCCGCTCTCACGGACGGACAGGCCATAGAGGACTCAGGCTGTAGAACGAGGACTGAGGCGGTTATACGATGGGACTTCAACCGCCTCCTTGTTCAACTTACAAATATAACCACTGTTGCTTTGGACTTTTGTATCCAGAAGAAACAGATTCTTGGAGTCTCACTTACTTCTCAGCACAAAAGTTCACAAGAACAGGCCCTATTCACAGATGTATTTTATAACTGACAAATAAATCCAGCATGACCCAGGTTCCATTAAAGTCTTAACTGAAAGTCGATGGTGACTCTTTTTTTCTTTTTCTTCTTCCCACGTTTTACTTATTGCAAGCGTATCCACTGCTGTAGCTGACAGCGTTATTTGTTGAAATGCTGTTAGGGGAGATGGCTGTCCTATAGGTGTAAAGAACTGACTTGTAGAGTAATTCGCCTTTCCATTAAACACTGCAGTGAATCCCCAGGGCACATGCAACACTTGTCCCCAGAACCGCTGAGTTAAGATGGACACATTTTATGTTAACCTCCCAAGACTGTAGATTTAGGATCCATTTGTCTCTCTGTGCATTCCACCTCTCATTCAATTAAATGTACATTCAAACTATAGCAACTTCCACCTTTGAGAACCAGTTTTGTGAAATATAGTCACACTTGAATAATAAAAAAGGATACTTGTATTCTATTAGGATAGCTGTGAAATTGCCTTTTTCATAATGTTCTACTTTTTAATTGAAGTGAAAATGATACATCCAATGTATGTATCACCTCTAATACAATGCACTTGCCAAACTATGGAATAATTGCAGCTCTCTTCACACCTCATACTTCTTCTGGACAAAGCTATAATCGTAAATAGAATGGCATAAACGGATTAATCTCCATGTAGAACATCCAAATTTGTTTTATGTTTGTGGAACGAAGAACACTACAATAATGTTCCCATAATCTGGAGTTATACGTATATCAAGTACATGCATACTATACATGATTGTATGTATTTTGTTAAAATCATTAATCATGCAGTAACTCAAAACAAATATTTGTTTATTTTAAATACATTTCTAGATGTGGACAACCTTTGGAGGCGCCTCTGCAGACTTCTTAGGAGGGCCTGGACCCCGGTTTTGGAAATATTGCAATGGGGGGGGTAAAGTCTATGAGCAAACTTTCCATATTCAATATTCAGGGTGCTTTCACACCTGTTGGTCCAGTAAAGTGGTTCGCTTGGGCCCTAAAGTTGTTACAATGTTGCAGTTCTCAACAGGTTTGGTTCTCATTCACACCAGTGTTTTTGCAAATGAACCAACTACTGTGGATGTTACATATTCCGCCACCCATGTGGTGGCGCTGTTCACAAAATGCTGTGTATTGGATGACGTAGGTGACTGTGCTACTCTGCGTTTTTTGGCTATTTTTTATCATCGTTGCTTTGTGCAGCACAAATACTGTTGTTCCAGTATGTATCGCGGATTCAGCACGAGAACACTCTGTGGGTGTTTTTGACTATTCTATCATATAAAAAAACAATGTGTGTGTCAAAAAGTGAGCTACGCAACAGAGTAGGGCCATATTGAGGCCGGTCTGCGTTCTCACCAGCAGCGAACCAGACTGGAGTCCACATGGAACCGCACCGAGACCAGCTCCATATGGTGGTCTCGGTGCGGTTCTTTAGTCCGGACCAAATTTAACTGGTCCACTTTCACACCTGCTCAAACGAACCGTACTTGCAGATGTTCCAGACTCCAGTCCGCTTTAAGTGGACTAAATGGTGCAGGTGTGAAAGCACCCCAAATTCCACAATCACTTAGAGACATTTTTATGACTATAATTAAAATATCTGTCAGTCTAACCAGTGAGTCCAAGTGTGGAGTGGATGAATAATGCACACACAAAAAACGTGACCTGACGACATACGTCTGTCACTATTATTGTTCATTGTAATTAGTTTTGAGCCATGCAGTGTGACTCAAGTGGAAGTGGCCTGTGGTACTCCAACGCTTTGATCCCTGTACTGGTGTTTGCAGGTAGTGTAGGTAATTGGCCTCGCTGTTTGCATTGTGCCATCACAAATTGAGTTTCCACACCAAGCATGACATAGATCGCTGTAGAAAAAATTGATTTACGTCTGTTGGATGAACTTGATGTGTTCAAACCCCCTTAAAGGTGAGGTCCTCCTCTACTTTTATGTCTACATGTATGTTCAATTCTGTTACCTGACACCAGAGTTCAGGACTCCAGGATGGTCTTATATTCCTGCTCTTGAGGCAATTGCAATTGTATTAAGTTGAGAAAGAGCTTGTTGCGCTCAGTACATTTAGTCTGACTCACGTTTGTTGTTATGAAGCTGTGACTGGCAGCTGTGAGAAAGTATGGAAATAATGCAATGTGCATTATTTCCTGAGTAGAGATCGACAGATAAATTGGTTGGACAAAACCCATCCGCGCCATATGCTACTATGGCATGTTAAACCCTGTTTTAGGTAATTTTCATACTATTTTACTACTTTTAATCCAGACATAATAACTCATTTTGTCCAAAATTGTGTCCAAAATGACCAAACAAAAATATCCAAACCAATCTTCAATACAACTAATCCTTTGTCCAAAAAATCTCAATAATGTGAACAAGTAAATACATCAAAATAACCTCAGAGGAATAGGTAGAGCTATAAAAATAAATGAAAATAAAATACTTTAAACGTCAAAGTAAACCTATTCCCATTAATATACATAATGAACAATTCCAAGTGTAATAGTTCCACATCAATATTCACATCAAACTTCCCTCAATAAGCAATAAAACTTGGATTTGCCTGAAAACAACAAACTCCACATAAGTAATGTGCATTTGCAGGTCTGTTCTATACTATAAATATAAAGTCCATTATTTTGCTCATAAAATTCTTTTACCTCCCAGCCCCTCCACATTAAAGTGCTCTGCTCCACATGTGACTAATGTTTGCAGCTCTGCTTCGGCTCTCACTGCTCCTTTTAGGAGCTCATGCATATACATGAGCAGGACTGCTGGATGAAAGTGTGAATTAATTGGTCTGATTTGGAGCCACACCAGCTGTAGACTGGGGTTGATATAAATGATGTTGTTTACCTTTTATTTGTCATCCCCAGCACCTGTTTGCCGATTCTTAATTTGCTTTTTTTCTCTCTGGTTGTTTTCAGAATGACGCAGAAGCAATGCCACGGTAAGAAATACTTTTATTGTGTGTCTGTGTGTGTTCATTATAGTGGTTTACAGATGCACTTGGAGTCATCTGATAATCAACTACAGATGTTTAACAAGTAATTAATAATCAATGATTTCATATTTTTTGGATTAGTGCTGTTTGTATTACTTTAAACTGCATGAATTTGATTGGTCTCAACTGTTATGCGACCAGCTAAATCAAATCTAACCAGCACCTTTAGGCGCGGCTGTCTGCACGTTTCAGCCGCATATTACTCTACAGTTATTCCAATGATGCTTAAGGTGGTTTTTCATAAAGATGTGTAAAGGGGCAGGAGGAAACCTGTGCTGACGTTCGCAACTATGAAACCTTGAACTTGTTTCTTGGATGAGGTTATTTTAGATTCAAATTCAGATGTTAAAGTTGAAATATGTTTATACTTCTCTAATCAGCTAGATTCTGATTACCTTTCTGCCAACATGGCCCTTATGCTCTCCTGAGTTGTACTTTTAGCTAGTAAAAACATACTAACAATACAAGAGTCACCTGCCTCCTGTGCCTCTAAACTAACATCTTTCCATTCAAGTCATGTCTGTGCCCAAGCCAGGCAATTAGTAGCTCTCATCCGTACGCCCTCTGGAATCAAAGGAGGTGACAATGTGGGATAATACAAGGAAGTAGTCTATAGAAGCATGTGGACGTACTTTACTTTAATAGCATGACATTTATATTTAAATCTCATATGAACTGTTAAAAACCACATTTTATGCGTTGTTACTGTTTTATGCATTTTAGAATTTTCTTTCTTTTTATTGCTAATTATTGCACATATGTAGAGTTTTTATTTACATATTTGTATAGGCAAGGCAAGGCAAGGCAATTTTATTTGTATTGCACAATTTCATACACAAGGCAACTCAAAGTGCTGAACAAAATAAGATAGCATTAAATCATAAATAATCACAGTACAACATATACATACTATTAAAAAGGCTATAATGATTTATAAACAAAAAGATCTCACAATTAAGTAATGAACAGTTAATCAAGCCACATACTGTACATGTTCCATTTCAAATACAGCCCCTATTCTATGGATTGAATATGAGTCATTGCTCATTCATTCTCCAAGCTAGTTTTTATCTTCACTCACTGAATCATACATTAGATATCATTCGAGAATAGCACCACGCGTCAATGTTCCATACGAAAAACGGTAAAGGATGTTGTTATTGGGGTAATGTGCAGTGTCTTTGACCTCCCAACGAGTTTAATGTTGTTCTCAATTGACCCAACTATATATTCTTCCAAATTGAAGTTATCCACTTTAAAGCTGCATTACCTCACTTTATGTTGTAATCATTATAAAATTCAATCCATATCCATTCAATACATTGGGATATAGGTCCTTTAGAAGAAAAAGTAGAGCATTTTTTTTTGGGACCAGATTGTGACCAATCACAGCGGACCACTGCCCCCACTTTCTTGAGAAAAGCTGCAGGTCTCTCGTTCGCACAGACAGCTGTGGTAAACAAGCGTCTGAGGCTATCCTGAAGCTTCCCGTGTCTTTGTTACCAGTTACTGCTTACACAGCAAAACAGCCATCCAAAAGAAAGTCTTGTTCCTCCGCGCTTCCCGGTTCTTTCATTCTATGGTCACGCCATCCAAGTTCAAATGTGCGATCCATATTGTGAGACGTGAGCTCTGTAAACAGCACATGTGCGGCTGAGGGGGAGGGGGGTAGTGGGGGGCGATAGCTCCGTGAGTGCGGGGAGGGTGAGAAGAAAGAGCGAGGCCAGCGCTCACATTTGAAAATTTCACAATGTGAGTTAGTGCAGCTTTTACTTTCAATGTCTTAAATTCAGCCCACAGTGAGTTAGAGTTACACAAAACCTACAGGGAGACACATATAACTTTTGTTGCTACTATAGCTGCTCTGTCTGCGAGCGCATAGCCTTGATCTTTCAGCGGGGGCTTTAGGCAAAGTAGGGTTGAGTGTCATGGCCAAGGACACAACAACAGCAGACACTGGGAGTCGGTGGAGAAGGTCTTGTGGTGGGCTCGAACCCACAACCTTGATGCTCCCCACCAATGCTTTTTTTGTTCATGTTTTTGGTGCAGCTGTGACACTATATAAGAGATAAAGGAGTACTAAAATCAATAGCAGGAATAGATAGAACTGCCTCAATAACAGGGTGATACATCTTATCCTCCAAACAAATAAATAGCCAGGTCATTGTAAAGAAAGTGTCCTGGATAAACTAGCTATTCTGCTACTTTATACTGACAGACAATTGTTAGTGAAAGAGAAACTAGTTTATTAACGTTTCTTCTCCAACCTTCTGTACATTCAAGTAAAAATATAAATCATAGACAAATGCTTATATTACTGATGCATGTATGACTCATTGTTTCATTGACGGTTGTTTTCTTGGACAATTTGCCCTTTTATCATCGGGGTCGAGCCTTCTTTGATTGCACCAATGTAAATTCACTGCCATCTGATATCGACCGTGGTACGTAAAACTCGATCAGATGCTTGTATGATTTTTCACCTGCTATTTCTGTTGTTTTTGTAACCTCTACTCCCTTTATCACACGGAGAGACAATCTAGAATAAATAGTCCTTTTCCAACCCCACGCTTATTGATCTGTTGACATATAAATGCCTCCTTCACCTGGAGCTAGAACACTCCTCATCGAACCACCCGTTGTCTTTGCCCTGCCTGTCTCTCTCCGCTTTTCAACTCCAAATACTGATTTCCCCTTTACACTCCTCAGAGTATAGATTTAGATTTTTCTCTAGTTCAAAATGACGCCTTAATACTAAAATAGCTTGGATCGTCTCTGCATACACATGTTTGATAGACGGTGAAATTGTTTTGCTATTACCAAAAGTCTCCCCTTCAGGTCCAGCCAACTGAATTTGCTATTTGACTCACGGCTGCTGCAAAAATGAAATAAAACAGTTTATTTTGAGATATTAAAAAAACGATAAACCGTAAGTCATGACCAAGGCGAGCTGAGATGTAATATGTTATTGATTGGTCAGCTCGTATTTTGACCCCATCTGCCTTTGGAACAGATGGCAACATGCCGGGATCCAAGGGTGATGTGGTGCTGAGACTGTGCCCTTCAAGAATTTCAACCCCAAGAAGGCACACTCCTAATGCTCTTTATGTGTTGTGTGCTGTCTTAGATTAGCTGTTATTGGGATTAAATGCGGTGGGGGAATATTTTGTCCCAAAGACCTATTACTGTTTGATGCCATTATCATTTGTTTTTCTATTTTGGATTGTTTCTCTCTTCTAACTAGCCACATTCTAAAACCGATAAGAAAATCACAAAATGGCTATAGGATAAATTAATTTGGAAAAATTCAAATTGAGTGCCCAGTTTATAATTTTCACCTGCTTGTATATTTCCGATCACTTCTAACCCCTGATTATTTTTAACATACTTGAATTTAATTGACAAATGAGTTCCCTTTACCTTCTGGCATAACTGGGTCACACACAACAAGGCTGCATATTGCTGCTAGTCATTCATATATCCATCCATGTAAAGAAGTGGATATATCCAACATACAGTACTGAAGCTACAACATCACCCGCTTACTCACAAAATGGCTTTTCCAATATTAGAAGATCTCTTATTTTGAAGTTGGCACAACAGTTGGGAAGGCAGATAAAGCGAAGAAAGCCTAAGCCCTTTCAAACAAGATTTCCCCAGATCAAGCCCCAGTATATGAGTGGTTGTAGCGTGTTTGGTGCAGTGGGATCCAGACAGCAAATTGATTATGGAGCAAAAGCACTAATCCGCCGTCTGAGCTTCCCGTTGCAGGGAAAGGCGAAGCGCTCCCACAGGAACCTCCACTCCAGCACCAGCATCTTTTTTGGTCCTTCTCAATCAATGCCTCCTTCACTCTTCCCAGGAATCTCTGCATAGGTACTCCTCGGCTGCTTACGACTGATCTGTCCCTCTCTGAATACAAATCTCCTTTCACTTCGTCCCATCGCCCAGTGCCACCAATGTGATGCGTGACTAATTTCACTTAGTGTCTTTCTCTGCATTCAAACCCTTTCCGTACTTTGTGAAAATGTTTGTTGGCAAACCCTTTTGAAGACGTAATATTTTCAAGATGGGCTATAGATAGTTGTGAGAAGTGAAATCTGGATAATGAAATGTATTATTACGGTAGTAAGACATGTTTCTTTTAAAACTGTATCACTTCACTTATCACAGTTTGCTAAATGATGCAAACTTATGCCATATGATCCATCCACCTCCCCTTTGTCTAAATCTGGGTCGGGGTCCTCCTGCAGGTCGTGAGTCCACAGGAGGATGGCTGCTCTATTGGTGAGAGCATAGCCTTGATCTTTCAGCGGGGGCTTCAGGAAAAGTGGGGTTAAGGGTCTTGCCCAAGGACACAATGATAGCAGACATCAGTGGGAGACTGGAGAAAGTCTCTTGGCCTCAAAACCACAATCTTCAGTCTATAAGGCCAATACTCTACTAACTGATCCACTGTCGACCCTATGCCATATCAATGTAATTTTTTCCTACTTTTTGGCTTCAGAAATTGCATTGTATCTGGGATCCTAATCTGAATACTAACTTGATTCTTTCTTTGTGCTATACCATTATGCGGAGTAGCTGACTCTGTGATTTTGGGAAAAGCTGTTGGCAAAATTTGGGAAAAAAATGTTGCTTTGCTGCTCATATCTCCCAACTATACCATGCCATGCCCTGCTTAGCTTCAGAGGTCTCAAACGAAGGGAGAACTTTACTCCAACAGACATGTTGGATGTAAGGTGGATGTTGTGTGGACTTTGTTGGTGGCATTTAATCTGCTGTGGATCATGAGACTTATCTGTCATATAATCAGCCATAGCGAATAGGAAATAACGTGTTTATAATGTTTGATGTGTTTGATTATTCACTCAAATTTTGTTAATCAGATAACAACTTTCAGGATGAAATTGTTACACACAAATGGGCATAATAACCTTAAATAACCGA